GGCTGCCTTCGCGTCAACTGCCTCGTCGGCCGTCTCGAATCGCGTCTTGAACGCCGCTCTGAAGGTCGTCCAGTCATTGTTGAACACCGCCAGCCCATTACCGATCGTTTCTAGATAGGGGGTGGCCCAGATCGCAGCATCGTCAATGAGGAGAGTGAGAGCCGACTTGATCCACTTCGTGTCGTCGCGGTCGAAGCCGCCCGTGGCGTTGGCAGTGTTCAGATGGCCGCCCATCTGCATCGCGTAGACTTGGAAGGATGCTACGAATCGGCGTGCATCCGAACTGGTCTTGCCGTTGTACGGCTGGGGCTTGTTCGCGACCTTGGTCGCGTCTTTCGTGGCTTGGGTGTTGAGGTTCGAAGCCACCATTGCGTTCGTCATAGCTTGGGGGAGGGTGGTGGACAGGTTCTGGAACGCGGTTGCCAGATCTGTCACCGCCTGCGTAAGGTTGGCCTGTCCAGCAACCAACTGCTGCTGGTTCGCGGTGAGGGCCTGCATGAGGGCCTGAAACTGTTGGACGTCCATGACGAGTGGTGTGATAGCAATGTGTGTCTTGTCGTATCTAGCTCTGCGGGTCGTGTAGGTAACAGGGGTACGGATGTGAGGACACGGTTGGTTGTCGCACTCTCGCCAGAGGAGGTCGTTTCGCTCGTTGCAGACGATGTGGACGTGCCGGTTGTCTTCAGTGTCAACCGCGTGCTGATGACCTGCACAAGCCACCGTGCTCTAGGAACCAGGGTACGCTCCGGGGAAATGAACACCTATTGAGGCTTCCGGTGTGGGGTCAACCCTCAACCAATCGTCTACTGACGACTGTAACAGTCGCTAACTAGCGTGGGGACTGGGTTGGGGTGGAGGAGATGCAGGATGGCCCGGGTGGGCGGCCGTGGCGTGGAAGCCGGAGAGACAAATGGGGAGGGGAAGTGAAGTCGGCTGGGATGGGGGTACAAGGATCCGAGCCCTGGTTGGTCTAGTCGGTGGGAGCAACAGCGACCAATTCGTGAGACGACAGATGGCCAACAGCGACGGGGACCCAAAGGAGAGTAAGAGGAAACGCGGAAGCGACGCGAGAAACGAGAGGAGCGAGAGACGAGGGGAGCGAGTCGACAATGAACTCTTGACTTGCTTCCTTCGTACGGGAAAGGGGGTGGAGATTGCTTGGGTTCGGTAGTACAGACCACGTAGACTATGAGCGACCGACTCTGCCACTGCCACAACATCCCACAACACTGATGCTCGTGACTGGAAAGCGGCTGACAGGTATGCCGACCGACCGGTAATCGGAGAGCGCGCCCGAGCCGATGATCGATTGTGGATAATCGGCTCGGCAGCAGAAGACCGACCCAAGAGTCGGCTCGACCGCACAGCGCATAAGAAAGCGAAAAATCCCCACCTCTCACCTAGCGGCCCCTACATCCTCCCCCAACTGAAATCTCAACCGTCCCCAGTTGCACCTTATGGCGGCCCCCCCTACTCGAACGAGACCCATGGTCGCTCGCAACACCCTCCTGTTCCACCGCTTCCTGGAGCCCTCGCTGATCCGCCTTATCCACGAAGACGAGACACAGAACGCCGCTCGACACATGGTGACCATGGCGGTTGCCGAGTTGAAGGCCACAGTCGATGCGAACACTTTCAATTCGTCCGGTATTCGGGTCCCGTTGGAGTCAGTAGTGATCACCACGGGTGCTCCCGTGGGTGTCAGTGAGCTCACCCGTACCCGAACCCGCAAAGTCCCGCACCCACGGGGCACGGGTGTCTAAGCTGCTGCGGGTGTTCAACGACATGTGCGGGTATGACGCGGGTGAAGACCCGTTGCGGGTAACCCACGGGACAGTGCCGTTAGACTGGCACACAGAGGGGTCGGACCGCGCGCTGCCACGCCTCGGCGTGTCCAAGCTCGAGCTCGAGCCCGGGCAGCAGGACTGCATGCGCGACACGTACACAGAGGGGCCCGACCGCGCGCTGCGCCTCGGCGTGCGAGTGCGAGCTCGAGCTCGAGCCTGGGCAGCAGGATCACATGCGCGACGCGTACGTGCGCCGCTAGTACTGCCACGCGCCGCCTGGAGAGCACGAGAACGAGAAGGCCAAGGCCCATCGAGAAAGCAGATCGACTTCCTCCATGACCACTGCACGTTCCCTGGCTCCGCACCCATCCCTGGCGAGCTCCGACCCACGAAAGGCCTCGTCCCCAGCGTGGTGTGGGCGCTGCACGCTGCGCGCTCACCATGAGGCGCCACTCGATATAACGGTACACATCGAGAACGACTTTGTGTATTGCCTAGCATAACAAAGAAGTAAGTTTACATAACCTAGTGGACGGCTCAGTGGACGGCTTCAAGAGCGTGTCGTCTCCAGAACATCCTCCGAGTGCACGAGGTCGAGCCGTGACCAGGCACCCAAGCACAGAAGTGCACGAGTAGTGTGCGCAGACAGCCTGTTGCGAATGTAGGGGAGAAGCAAGCGGCCACGGCTGAAGACGCGCTCAACGTCCACCGAGGTCGCTGCTCAGCAGGACACATCAGATATGGTATTCGTGCGTGCAGCGGAAGGATATCACATACCGGGGATGGTCAAATAGTCCTTGGCCATACGAGCCAAGTGCGGGTAAGTCTTCTCGTGCTCACGCCACCACGAGAGAGCATCGGTAACGCGCACGAGAGGAGCGGCGAGATAGCGGTCGAGCTCGTCATCGTCACCATGAATCGGGCCGCTAGCTGCCAAGAACTGAAGGCCATCAAACATGTTCTTCGGACGTTCATCCTGCAAGAGCGACAGGTAAGAAATCACGAAACGAACTTCAACACAATGAATTAGATAAAGAGACTCACTACGTCCATAGCCACCACGTCCTCCGCCTGCTCGCTTGAGCCACCGTCGCCAACGTGGTCGTGTTCAGCATTGATGGGGTCCTGATGCTTGTACACAGCGTCGTACCGGTCACGGACAACGGTCTTCGCAGTCTCGATCCAGTCGTCCGGCCAGTGCTCGGACTTGAAGTACTCCATCTTGTAGCGAGGATGAAGGACTGTTCAAATAGAATATAAGTGATCAAGATCGTACAGGATAACTAAGGAGAGAGAGGACTACTCACCCATGGCGATACGGTACGCCTCGGATGAGTCTGTGAGCGCATAGTACTTATTCAGAACCTGTTGAGCGAATCGATGGGCTTGACGAATTGCCGGATCGTAGAGGTCGCCGTGAGAGTCACGGCTGGCGGCGAGCTGCTTCGTTGTAAGCTCCCGGTCGAAGACGTCCATTGCGGGGATGACTGCCGCAAGGTTGGGCGAACCACGGGAAAAGAATTCGGTGGCGTCCTTGAAGACCTACATCAACGTGAAGGTTGTCGAGTGGGGATGCGTCGATGCAAGGGTCGCGATCGCGGAGAGAAATGGGCGCAAGGTCGGAGGAAAGGGCAGGAGGATGACAACGACAGTGAGTCACCGGATAGTAGGCCCGAGGACATGTATTTGAGCGGAGTTAGTAATCGTCGTTGGCAAGTTGAAGCTCAGCACGCACCTTCAGAACGTCGACCAGCTGCTCTGCAATCTGCCATTCCCGCGCATTCATCCGGAACTTGTCAAGGTCGACACCAAGGTCGCCATCTGCGCAAAACGACCGGATCGCACGCTTCATCCCCACTGCATTCACCACTATGTCGTTTGTCGACTGCCAGCGGGTGCGAACGTCTTGACGAAGCATGCGCTCCGGCAAGTTCAGATCAGCGAGGTGCTGCTTCCACGCGGGCAGGAGGATGGTGGTGGACTTGTTGACCGTCGAGGCCAGGGAACGAAGCTAGCAGATGATAACGAGGTGAGTATTGGTTCATGTAGCATATACATATGGCTTAACAACTAGCCTTAGTGAGAACAACGCGGACCGGGCGAACAGCAGCGTAGAACTCGGCGAGCTGCTCCTCGTTCATCCCAGTCGCCTCCTCCACCCACTCGTCTTCATCAGAAATATCGACAAGTCCAGGCAAGTCGTCCTCAGCGCCCTCGTCCGTGTCCTCGGCCAAGTCATCAAGGCTGTCGAGCGGCTCGTCGTCATTGTCATCGTTGACAAGGTCGTCAAGCTCCGCGTCGTCACCCTTCCGCTTGTCGTCCTTCTTTGGTGCGTCGAAATGCTTCATCAGCGCCTTGCTCACAAGCTGAATGATGTGACCAAAGCAGCGGACGTGACCTCCACCACGCGAGAAGCCGTTGAGCTCGGTCTCGAGGTGCTCGACCATCGCGTCATTGGCGGACGCATTGTCGCATGTCACGGCCAACACCTGTCAACAAGGTAAAGTCAGAAGCCATTATCGAGCATATGAGACAGACTCAAACCTTGTCATCAAGCTCGAGCTCAGTCAGGATGATTGCAATCTCGCGTGCGAGGTTCAGGCCAGTATGAGACTGCAAGAGTATATTCAGGATATCAGTATGCAGATAACTGTTGATCACGCGATGTACGTACCTTCGGAACCTCGACAATGTCGAGCAGCATGCTGATGGGCTCATCGTTGTGCAGGAAGTGGACTGTAACCGCCGTGAAGGCACGATGGTTGGGAGAGGTCCAACAATCCGTAGCGATGTTGATATGCCCATCATAGTCCTGCGTCGAGTGGGTGAGTACAGCCGCAATTGGTTGGCAAAACATTCTTACACATACCCTCAGGAGACGGCCGATACGCTCTCGAGAGCGCGTGAACAACGTCCGCGTATCGCGAGCCAGAGTGCTCGGCGAAGGAATCTTGAAGTTCGGGCGTCCAGTCTTCATCAAGATCTGGAAATGCTCGTCCTTGACGATGGACAGCGGGCGCGATGACTCGGCAACCCATCGGACAAACTCCGCACTGGCGCGTCACATTGTCAGTCATGGTTCAAGGCGACGAACACGAACAGCCACCCACCGAGTCTCTGCCTGCGTGAGGTGGCGGTTCGAGAAGACGACGCTGCCTTTCCCCTTGCGGGTGAAGTACGTCTTGATGTCGCTACTCAACCTCTTGCTGACGACGATCTTCCGGACCTCATCCGCAGTCATGTTGGCCTCGCGTGCGCTGTCGACAGCCTCCTGGCCCCAGCACCGGATGGCGTGCTTCTGAAGGATCCCGGTTGAGGTTGCGTCGCTCTTGTCGAGGTAGCGACGACCCTGCCACTTGCAGCTTGGGGAAGCGCACGTGAATACGTGGCAACGACGCCGACCCTTGCCGTATGCGATCTTGGGAATGGGCTCGTAGAACCCGTAATAAAACGAGTGCCACTTGCGCATCATAGCGGCTGTGTTCACTCCTGTAAGTTCATCTTCAATCCCATGCTATGCTGTAGAACTCACCAAGTTGTTCATCAGCGTTGTCGTCATCATCGTTGTCACTGCCGTCGCCATCGTCGTCAGAAGGTTCATCGTCCGAGGGCTCTGAGTTGGACGACACATAGACAACTTTATCGATGTCTGAGTGAGCCGCCTCTTCTTCCTCTTCAGTGCGGCAGATAACCTTGCGCCCACCAGTGCTTGGCTTCTATAACGGCCAACTGTTATCAATGAACCCACACACACATGAAAGCACGAACCTTTGAACGCTTGATGGCAGCCTTCGACTTTGCGCGCCCGACACCAGCCTGTGCAGACCCGGTGGCGGCCTTCACGGACCCAGCGGCGGCCTTCGCGGACGCGGTGGTGGCCTGCGTGGACGCGGCGATGGCCTGCGCGGACCCAGCGATGGCCTGCGCGGACCCGGCGGCGACCTTCGCAGACCCGGAGGCGACCTTCGCGGACCCAGCGGCGGCCTTCGCGGACGCGGCGGCGGCCTTCGTGGACCCAGCGGCGGCCTTCGCAGACGCGGCGGCGGCCTGCGAGGACGCGGCGGCGGCCTGCGTGGACGTGGCGACGGCCTGCGCAGACCCGAAGGCGACCTTCGCGGACCCAGCAGCGGCCTTCGTGGACACGGTGGTGGCCTGCGTGGATGCGGTGATGCCTTGCGCGGACCCAGCGACGGCCTGCGCGGACCCGGCGGCGACCTTCGCGGACCCGGTGGTGGCCTGCGTGGATGCGGCAATGCCCTGCGCGGACGCGGGAGCAGCCTGTGCGGACGCGGCGACGGCCTTCGCGGACGCAGTGACAGCCTGCGCGAAGGTCTTCTCAGGGGTGGTGTTTGTGGACTCGGGTTCATGTAAGCTGAGATCCACTCAGACTCGAAAATAAATATACTCACCTTTGTGATCCCCAGCTTGTTGAGCACCTTTGTGGTGCTCTCCTTCATTGCCTGTGCCTTCTCAGTGAGGATGCGCGATCGCTTTGGGCGATCAGCGTTGTCGGGGGACGCGGCGCGCTTTTTGGAGCTATCGGTGGGCTCAAGGGTGGGAAGGGTGTTCGACATGATGCTGAGTTCGAGAGTCTACGAGTGGTGGGACTGATGATTCTGTGGAGACTCGAGTGGCTTGAGGGTTTTTATAGAGCCAGAGGCGTTAGTCAGCAACTGTACAGTTGGTGGCGTCCACTCACCATGTGCAGAGATCAGCCACAGGTGAAGAAGCGCGCAAGGAGATGCGAGCTTCGGAGGACGTTCAGTAGGCGCTAAATTAGCCTTTACGGGCGCGGGTTCCCGTGGGATCCTCATGGCGGGCCGGCGGGTCGGGCGGACCTCACCCGCACCCGAACCCTTGACACCCGTTCCCGTAACCCTGCATGGGTATCCCGCACCCGTGGTGATCACTAGGAGTCAGTCATCCTCGCTACGGTGTGTAGAGGCCTATTGGTCGCCTAGTCGGTTTGACCGACTCCTTCTTCTCTAGCGGGTGTACTGGCTGGTCTTTGGTGATGACGGTGGACTTCGTCGTGTCTTCCGCGAAGTCGAGGACCTGCTGTCAGAGACTGAATGGGTAGAGGAGCTCATGGTCGCTTGGCGTAACGGCTATGCGCAGGTACGCCTGGAGATGCGACACACCATTGGCGACCACCTCTGGACGTCCGCTCGCATGCAACACGACGTGGCCACAGCTCTTCAAACCGCTCTCGACCACACGAATGCCCTCGATCTGGACACCGCGGCTTACTTGTCGCAGCTCATTGGTGCCAGTCGCGATATTCAACTGCAGGCTGGTTCGACGGTTCGGCTCCTCCGCTACGACTTGGTGAGCGAGATCCGCGCGGAGCGCCTCCAGGCTCGCTTGTTCGGTTCCCCGGAGCCTCAGGGAACTGTCGAGGAGCTGCTTGCCGACGAACCAATGGAAGAGCTGGTCGATCCCGAGGACGAAGAGCCACTTGCTGCGTATGAAGACTTCGGAGACGACGATGGCCCCCACGACTAGAAGCCCTCGCTTGGAGAGAGGATCGGACGGAACCAATGGTTGTAGGCCAGCGGGACGGTTGCGCACAAGGTGGGAGGGGTGGCGGCAGCGGGAGACGTGACAAGTGAGTCGGTTAGATTGGACGAGGCGGGATGGACAGGGAATGTTGGTGGTGCCATAGTAGAGTCGTCCGATGTACTGGGGCGCTGACGTATGCCAGCCGAATGGATGCGTATTCGTGAGAAACCTGGAGCGACTCAAGGCATCGAATTGTGGCTTTTGATCTTCCGATCCAGCGTGACTATGGGTGGAGGCCACTTCTCAGTCCGCTTTTGGGCGCCAGAGGGCCGCACTTGGCCTGGTCGTCTTCTTCTATGACGTCATCTGCCATGAATGGGCACAGCCGATCGCCCGCCTCATGCCCCTTGCATGGCCTCGGCTCCGCAGCAATGCGGGGGTGGGGTGCGCTCTTTTTGACGGTCGGCTTGTAGTCGCTCCCCCCACCCCTGCCTCTCACCCTCCCCGCTCGCTGTCGTTCCTCGCTCCTCCAACCGTTCCTCTCTCGCGATGTCTTCATCCACCCTTCCAGTCCCAGAGCGCATCATACGAGCCGCCACGCAACGCCTGAGCAGGATCACTCCCCTTCCGATGCCGCAGGACGAACCGATCGAGCTCAACGACGACGGGGTTGTCGCCTTCCTGGCTCAAGTACCGCCTCAAGAGGCCTCTACTCCCGTAGCTTCTTGGAGTCGCGAAGAATGCGCACGTGTCGGAATGACCTTGGTGGCTGCCGTGAATCAGGTGAGTGCTTCCTAAACACAGCAGCTCCTTCCGTGGTGTTGACGAGGTGGTGACCAGTGTACTGGGCCTGCCTTCCGGTCGGGTATGGAGTTCTTCTTGGACGAACTCGAAGCCGACGCCACCACCGCTGAGGCGACCTTCGACCGCGTTGATACCTTAGTCGCTGCTGCGCGTCGTGCAATTCGACTCCAGCGCGACAACGCTGAGATGGAAGACCTCGAGGGATGGGCATGGGCCTTGTTCTTTCAGCTGCAGCCCAAGGACGAAGACTTTTCCCCTCTTCGTGCCCACGTTGGTCGCCTCTTGGAAGCCCAGGGCGTCGATACCCTTGCTGATGACCTTGTCCTCTCCCAACCTCGTGCTCCGCCGTCTCCTTCTCCGGCGCCCTCCGCCTCCATCTTCCGTCTCAATCTCTCGCTCCTGCCATCGCTGCCAAGCGACTCCGGCTCTGGCCTTCGCATCAAGTCGGCTACCCCCGTCGCGACCGAGAAGAATTCCGCTGGCCGCAACTTCCCCACGTTGTTTGAGCTCCGGCGTCAGGTGTGTAGGTTTTTGTCAAGTCTCTCCGATATTGCGTGACAACCTTTGCACAGTGCGACTACTGTTGGGGAGCGAAGTCCGACGGCGCTTGTGAAGGAGGGTGCCAGCCATGTGCGCGGTGCGTGAAGGTGAACGTTAAGTGCGCGTTGTACCTGCTTCGTGCCGATGGTTGGGTCTCGGGTGAGTGCCCGTGGTTGTTGGCCCCGTTGTCGAGCTGGTTGACACCCGACCTGCAGTACCCAAGCTCGGCCCTGTCACGTTCTTTGACGGGTCAACATTCTTTATCCCGCCGAAGTTTCGGGGATCCCAACGCGCCGTCATCGAGGGCCTCGTGGACTTCCTGCTCGGCCACTTGACAGCCCAGGACTTCAAGATTGTTGGTCAAGTAGCGGTTCCAGAAGGCCCAGAGGCCCTTCGGTTCGATTACCACCGTGACGACGCTCGGGCGATTGCGTGGCGCTACCTGCAGTCCATGGCCAGTCGTATGCACGTTGACGAGGGGGAGTTCCTTGATACCTCGGATCTGCGTCGCTTGGACGTCCGAGCCGAGCCCGCACCGACGATTGTCTACCGTCCGTTCAGGCCCGCCCCTACGAGATCGCTTCCCAACCGTCGGCCTGCTCCGAAGAAGGTGAAAGCGACGCCCCCAGTTGCTGAAGACGTGGAGATGCTCAACGAACCCGACAAGCCGATTAAGCCTATCCCCCGCCATCGCAGCACCCGCGCGATCGCGGTGAAGCGGTTGCCTCCTCGTACCGTCGGTCCGGACGCCAAGCGGAAACGAACAGGCCTCGTTCCCGAGGTCGTTGTGCCTTCTCGCCAGCCCTCCGGCGACTCTCAAAAGTCGGCTGGTACGTTTTCGATGCAGGCTCTCCACACCGAGTTGGTTCCGCCCTCCTCGATCTCTGTCAGCGACTCCGACGTTGCGCTCGATGATGACCTCTTCAAGGCCTCCTTCGTTTACGCAGCGGCCACGTATCGCCTGGCCAATACGCTCTGGTTGGAAGCGGTTGGGAGACTCCAGGATATCGCTGTGCAGCCGCAGGAGGAGCGGGACAAGTTGCGTCGGCTGACTGCCCTCTTGCCAGCTGGGCTCACGTCGGTCGACGAGTTGCTTGACCTGTCCCTCAAGGCCGACTTGCGTGGACCTCCCTTCGCATCCTCGTCCACTGCTGGCCCATCCACAGCCGGCCCTTCTGTGGCGGGTGGGAATCGTCCAGTGCGCGTCGTCTTGTCAAGTCCAGAGTCTTCGGACGCGGAGGCGGTCAGCGCGCACTTCTCCGGCGTGGAAGAGGAGGATGAGGAGGAGGAGGCCGCGAGCAAGGGAAAGGGGAAAGCGACCCGCGTGGGGGCGCGGCGCATCGCTCGTCGTCCGTAAGTGCGTCTCTTGGCTTGTCATCTCGCGGACTGTGTGGTCTTTTTGCCGATGCCTTGTTGGTCGCAGTGTTTGACCTATCGAGTCCTGTCACCCCCGAATACCTTCCTGTGAATGTTCGGTTAGTGAGATTACGTAGTGGCTGTAGCATAACGAGAATCTGTCGCGTCCGGTAAAAGTAACAGCTTCGTATAGTATGTGGGGGTAGTCCGTGAAAGTCCGTGAAAGTCCGTGCGCACTATCGTGACCGACTAAGGGGGAATGGAACATGTCTTCTCTCCTCTGCAATAATAACAGTGTGAACTTCTCTTCTTTGCAGCGATAACATTGTGGAACTTCTCTTCTCTTCTTTGCGACGATAGCGTTGTGGAACTTCTCTTCTTTATCTTGGCTGGAGGATCTGGTGTGAAAAGAAAGGGAATAGGGAGCCGACTCCGTGAGCCGACTCTGTTCGTAAGCGACCGCTGGTAGCACCACTCTTCCCCCAACAGAAATCTAGACCGTCCTCGGGCTTCTGACCCTTATGGCGCAGCCAAAGTATTGGAACAGAGGTATGCATTGACCTTGCCCATACGACGCACAGGAGGAGGGAATCGCGGCGCTAGTGTTGAACAGACAGCCGAACGTGAGTTACAGTGTTGAACAGGCTCGGAGACAGAATCATATCGTAAAAAAAGAGATTGGTCCATAAGAAAGAAGACTGGGGAACATATGCGGGGGGGGGGGGGTCCATTATCAAACATCTTCCAGTAGGTTGGTCGCGTCCTCCTCGCCGCCATCATCAGTGTCGCCTTCCATTTCCAGGATCCGTGCGTCGTCAATGTCAAGTGTGTCGCCTGGTACGCGGATCGGCTCCGTTCGGGGTGGTACTAGATGACGCGGAAAGCAGCGACGGGTCGGTCAAACACCGCACCATCCAGTTCAGCCAAAATGTATGCGCCCGCGCGATTGCGAGAAACCACCACCAACAGTCCGATGTACCGTTCACGAGTCTTGCGGTCCAGCGACTTCTCAATGGCCGTGTTGCACATGAGGACCAGAC